CCTTCCTGGAGGAATACGAGAACCTGATTGATTTTACATCCATCTTCGTGGATATCTAACTCTTCCTGTGTATTCAACTTCATCAAACAACTATGACAGTGCTTCTTTACACCTTTTTCTGTCATTATCGTTCTAACATACCCGTCAAAATCTTTGATTAAAACCAAATGACTTTCATTCAACAATAACGCGCACATAATGTCCTTATATTTCTTATTCCCCTTACGACACATAGCCATAAATGTCCTATCTTGATCCTTTCTTAATTGATAAACATATAATGACACTTTATTTTCCTTCTCTAATATGCCTAACTTATCACGTATAATGGGAAAATCATCTATAGAAGATTTTGCATGATTAAGACATCCTCTCTTAGTATTAACTGCTCTGCGAATATGTTTCTATGACATGTTCTTTTTATGACATTGATAGGCAGCAAAACCCGCAGTAACAAAACCATCATTAATCTCTGGATTAAATACATATTGGTTCCTCGCAGTTTCTCGGGAAAATGCCACATATGATCCTACTTGTACTCTGAATTCTACTTTAACATATTCGATACTGAAAGATTCGATTTGATCTATGATCCAGCCAGATCCTTCCTGATCTTGCAACTCTTACTCTTTATCTTTCAAATATCGTTCCCCCCCTTCGATCAAATGCTTCAGAATTTCCTCTTCATTTTACTAACTAAAACCTAAATTTATCACAATTGCCATTGTGATCATCACCCGATATGTTTTGACGAAATGTCCTTATAACTATAATTGGGTTGATTCTGAGCGACATTGCTAGAGGTGATCTATCATACATATCTCGCATCTGATCTATAAAATAATCCCTATAAGTATGTAAATACATTCTTAACTCTCTGTTATAAGTTGAAGGAACACTATATTTCCTCACTGTATGCCTGCCTCTAAAATTCTGGATGTATGTGTTAATTTCTGGTCTCTCATCTTCACCTCCACTATTGTGTGCGACATTACTGTCAGACACGTCATGTGAGGTAGTTGCTCTTATCTTCACCTCCATATTGTGTGCGACATTACTGTCAGACACGTCATGTGAGGTAGTTGCTCTCTCATTTCACCTCCATATTGTGTGCGACATTACTGTCAGACACTCCTGTGAGGTAGTTGCTTTTCCATCTTCACCTCCACTATTGTGTGCGAATTACTGTCAGACACGTCATGTGAGGTAGTTGCTCTCTCATCTTCACCTCCACTATTGTGTGCGACATTACTGTCAGACACGTCATGTGAGGTAGTTGCTCTCTCATCTTCACCTCCACTATTGTGTGCGACATTACTGTCAGACACGTCATGTGAGGTAGTTGCTCTCTCATCTTCACCTCCACTATTGTGTGCGACATAACTGTCAGACACGGTCATGTGAGAGATAGTTGCTCTTCTTCATCAACTCCCACTATTGTGTGCGACATTTACTGTCAGAACGTCATGTGAGGTAGTTGCTCTTCATCTTCACCTCCACTATAGTGGCGGACATTACTGTCAGACAGTGATGTGAGGTAGTTGCTCTCCATCTTCACCTCCCTATTGTGTGCGGCATTACTGTCAGACACGTCATGTGAGGTAGTTGCTCTCTCATCTTCACCTCCACTATTTGTGTGCGTACATTTACTGTCAGACCGTCATGGGGGTAGTGCTCTCTATCTTTCACTCATATTGTGTGCGACATTATGTCAGACAACGTAGTGAGGTAGTTGCTCTCTAATCTTCACCTCCACTATTGTGTGCGACATTTACTGTTCAGACACGTCATGGGAGGTAGTTGCTCTCTCATCTTCACCTCCACTATTGTGTGCGACATTACTGTCAGACACGTCATGTGAGGTAGTTGCTCTCTCATCTTCACCTCCCACTATTGTGTGCGTCATTACTGTCAGACACGTCATGGGAAGGAGTTGCTCTCTCCATCATCTTCATTAATGGGGACAGAAGTTATCCACACCTCCCACTGCACCCCGCACTGTGAGGTACCAACACTCTCATCTTCATTCCCCATCGCACCTCCAAGATGCGCGTCACTACTCTCAGTTTGATTCACAACAGTACCAGGTGTATTTCCTGCAGAGGAGAAAGTATATCCAATTCGTAACCCAAAATATTTTTACGTATTAAGTTTCAAATGAATAGAACCAAAATCTTTCACGTTCCCCTTTTGGGGTTGTTTATTTAAAACATATTACGAATTAAGATTTTTAATGAATAGAACAAAAATCTTTTCTCGAGTGACTAACACAATTTTACGATAAATATTTTTCACAACAAAAGTAAAAAGATCACAATTTGGATACATACATGTTTCTACAGCCTTCTTCCATAATACATCTATGCGATCCCACTCATTCTGTAATTCTAACAACCTCTCATCGCGATGTACATCGCCTCTCTTGATTTTCAAACGATCGACGCCTTCTTATCGTCAATCCTCGCTCTGAGAGACTCCTTGACCTTATATGGGTCACCCCCAAAGTATTGCGTCATGATTTTTGTACACCCCCCTCCCCTCCGACGACGCCATGAAATGCGGTTCACATCCAAGGTAGAAAATCACATAGTCATTACGTATCTCCTTACTGAACACCTGCGTCAACACAGGTCAGACAGACGTCATGAAATGCTGCTCACACCCAAAGTAGAAAATCACACGGCCATTACGTATCTCCTTACCGAACATCCGTGTCAATCGGTACCATAAAGTAACTAATTTTTGTGAGGCAGTCCCGCTCCGCAACAGGAGGTTACTCCACATTAACTTAGCTGTTATATATCTTGAAAACCCATTAACACTTACAGTGTACAAGTCACCTCTCTATGGTAAACATAATCTCTCTCGGACAGTACAATTGTAACTTGACACATACACATCTGCTGACGTTAATATATTTCGTTATCCATCAAGGATTATCAATGCCGGTTATTTGAAAGTGGCAAATCTTTATTTCACATCAAAATTATTAAGTTATACAATGAGAAATTTCATAACATTGTTAATATGGGGGGGGACATCACATCCTTTAGAACAAGATTCAGAGATAATCTCATAAATTACATTTATTAAAGATATTATCGGGACCCACAGAATGTCATTGCATCATCCGATGAAAATACAATAATTATTGTTGATGATCCATTTTTAAAAGCAGGTAACAGTGAAATTATTCTCGAATGTTTTACTAAAAGGTAAGAATCATCATAATATAAGTATTATTCTGATTACTCAAAATATATTTCACGGAGGACGTATAGTCGTACATGGCTTTAAACGCCAGCATTTTGCTTTATTTAAATGAGGGATCTTGGACAAGGTGAGATCTGGGGCGACAAGTTTTCGTAACGTAAAGAATTGTAAATATATATAAATCTGCCATAAATCGATCACCCTTTGGTTATTTATTCACAGACCTTGCATTAAATACACCAGAAGCATTACAGTTGCGAACCAATGTGTTACGTCAGGATTCCTACGAAATTGTATACCAATGGCGCGAACAAAATTAATTGAAAAGGTTTATAGAGATCCTGGTTGTGTGGGATCATTCTCTGGTGTAAACAGTTTATATACAGCTGTAAAAAAGATTGATCCGTCCATAACCTTGAAAGATCATATACTTTACATGTTCTTAAACCTAAGAAGTTTCCTCGTAGGAAAATAATTGCTCCCAAACCCAGAGTGATATTAACCTGTGATTTGGGTGATATGTCTAAATTATCCAGATATAATGATGGATATAAATACATTCTCGTGTGTATCGATGTTTTTTTCAAGATATTTACAAGCAGTACTCATGAAAAAGAAAGACGGACCGAGCACTTTACATGCATTACAAAACATATTGGAGAATGAAAAGGCGAAGAATATATCGAGATTATTTACAGATAAAGGCAGGGAGTTTCTAAATAAACAGGTACAGAATTATCTCCAGAGTAAGCATGTAAAGTTATATAATGTATTTTCGAATGAAACAAAAGCTTCCATTGCAGAGAGAGGCTTGCAAACATTGCAGAGAGAGGCTTGCAAACATTGCAGAGAGAGGCTTCTAAACATTGCAGAGAGAGGCTTGCAAACATTGCAGAGAGAGGCTTGCAAACATTGCAGAGAGAGGCTTCTAAACATTGCAGAGAGAGGCTTGCAAACATTGCAGAGAGAGGCTTGCAAACGTTGAAACGTAAATTATACAAATATATGACAAGTGCCAATACATTTAATTATTCAAAAGTGTTAAATGAATTGGTAGATGCGTATAATTCAACTCCACACTCGGGGATTCGTGGTAAAACCCCATTGCAAGTCCATGGTATTACGACATTGAATGATATAAGGAATCAGTTTCGCATAAATTATAAAAATGGAAGATCCAATAAGAAACGAATCAGTAAGAAATTGGCTGTTGGAGACACAACAAGAGTGACTCTTAGCAGATCATCCGCGTTTAACCGAGGGTTTCACACACAAAATACAGAGGAAATATCTAAAATATATAGAATTTAATAATTCTCAACCTAAAAACAGCATATCATTTGAAAGATTTGAAAGGTGAAAAGATTAAAGGAACATTTTATCGCGAAGAATTGACCCCAGTCATACCACCTCCAGAATATATTATCGACAGAGTATTGAAACGAAAAAAAATTGGTGGAATTACTCATTATTTGGTATCTATAAGGTTTATGTTTCCCACTTTTAATTCGTGGTCAAAGAAGGAGATTTGTTGAAGGTACAATGAAAAAATCATTATTAGAAAAATTTAAAGAATTAATTACATTACTTAATAGTCTCCCAGGCAATCAACGGAAGAGTTTATTACAACAGTTTAAGAAAACACACATAAGTTGTATCAGTGAGATTTTCAAGAATTTGACCCTAAAATATTTAAAAAGTACAAGAACGAGATTAGAACATTAGCTTGTAAGAAAATAGGTTTTCAGCGTAAAAAGAAATATTTGCTGAGTATCAGAGGTGGAAATCTTCTTAGTATTATATTACCTCTAGCAGTAGATATTGTTTCAAGATTGTTTAATAAATCATGAAAGAATTTTACCTTGTACCAACTTCAGTTATGAACCGGAAACCTCTCGAGATAGTAAAATTGGGAGGTGATGAGAATTTAGAAGGAGGAGGTGGATGCTTGAAGCGTGGTGTTAAACGCAAGATTAAGCTCAGTCCCGTCAGGGAAGTCAACCCACCTGCTCTCACCTCGGTGAAACCTCAGAAAACCCCAGATTTGTCAAGATTCATGCACATAAGAGTGAGTGCGAGAAATATAGAATATGTGAAATCAATGTTGGTATTATTGCAAAGAAATCCTTTGGTGAGTTGGGATGAGAATGGTGACCTTCTTACCCCCATTACTGGACGTAATATTATTGAAATATTAAATGTTTTATCAGAAAACAATGTGAAATCAGCGAGAAGAAACGATTCTGATTACTTAACAGAAATAAAGCATTTATTAAATATAACAGGTATACATTTTGATTTTGTGAGGAATACAAAAGTGAGAAGACAATTATTACATAAAGGAGGCGGTGTAAGGAGAGAGGAATCATCGTGGATAACATATTAGGTGAGTATATAAACTCTGTGATGTTATGTTTTTATTTAGTGTGTGTTATAAGAGTGTGGAGATGGCTGAACGTCTTCTATACGTCTGTAGTGATTCCAGTCTTGATTTATTTCCCGACAATACACCTTCAGCTTTCATTAATAAATTATATGACCCCATTATATTAGATAATAAAATTGATTATGAGGTTGCTCTGAAAAATATAATTTACCCCAAGACACATTATATACCACAAAAGAACTTGAAGATATGTATTAAATATGAGAAATCTACATTAAATAAATATGTCCATAAAATTGATATGAGCAAAATTATTGGAGGTGATATGACAAGGATTTTAGAGGCAATAAATGAGGATATTAATGAAAATCTGCTAATAGCAGTTAAACATACAACGGGTATTATCATCCCCTAAAACTCAATTGTGTTCACATATCATCCAGGAATAAACAGAGTGCTTATTAACTTGAAAAAAAAAAAATTATACTACCTTCTGATATTACCAGTGGTTATGTGGGGTTGGAATTTGATAAAGAAGGAAGCGATATGTTAGGGTTCTCAGGTAATGAAATTTTGTATGTCTTTACCAATAAAAAAGAGATTATTTTTAACGAGTCTGGTGTGAAGGCGGTAAACCCGCCCGATCCTGAATCAGGTATTAATTATATGTTAATATATAGTGATTTGATTGATCCCATTAATTTTGGCGATCAGTTGGTATCTCTTTTGGGAGTAGTTGATATTAATACATTAAGATCTAATTATGATCCCACAATGTACAAACCACTTAATAACAAGATAATTGATCAAGTGAGTATTAAGCTCGCTGATCAGAAAGGAAGGTTAATTCAATATAATGACAAGTGTTCTACTGTATGTGTACTACATTTAAGACCTATAAAACGAGAGTGAATGATCAAGTTGAGTTAATATTGAACGAACCGTCAAGATGAGAACCAGTTTCTCTCCTCCTTCAGTGGAATCATTCCTGAAACTCTTTGATACTTCGAGGGTGAAAGGGGGAGGTTTAGATGATATCATATTATATAAAGCTAGAGGGAGGGGCGGAGGATTATTGTCATTTCTCGGTGGGATGGCCAGAAAAGCAATACCATTCTTATTGAATACCTTTGCTCCTGGAGTATTACAATACGGACAAAATGTGTTGAACGATGTTAATAATGGTATTGCATTGAAAAATTCTGCGAGAAATAGAGGTGTAGAATCACTGAAGGTGTCGGACAGAAGTTATTATCCGGAGGAAGTAGAAAGATTGGTTTGAAACGATTGAAATTTAATAATAAAAGAAAGTGGAATATTTAATTAATTTTAGTTTATTGTTAACTTTCATATTGATAGTATGTCGGCTTGTGCTCTATACGTTACACCAGGGGGACTCAACGCCCCCGTCCCCAGTTATTCTCATTCCATAACTGATGGATTCCCAAAATTACCAGGACACACCATTACTGAATCCTGGATAGCAGCTAGACGCACCTGTGAAGTATTACCAGTAAATCAAGGATCAGATAAATTTCTCGAATTTAGAATACAAAGTTCAGAAGGTCATTTTTTAGATTTAACGAGTCTGGCCTTGGAAATGAACATAAATATAACAAATGAGGATGGGAGTGCACTGGGAGACGGAGATAAGGCGATATTTGTGAATTCTATAAGTCAGACAATATTCAAATCTGTATGTTTGTATCTCAATGAACAACTTATAGAATCGAATCCATTTTATTCATATACGGGTTATATTAAACTGCTTAAGCATTTATCCCCATCAAAATTAGATACATTGGGAAGAATAGCATTCTTTCGTAATAAAGACACAGCAAGTAGTACTATTACATCAGCTGATTTAGATGATATTAAGAAAGACGAAGGTAAATTATCGAATGAAGTGAATACTTGTTTCCCTTTGATGCTGGATGTGAGTAGTTTTGACGAATATATCCTGGATAGTGTCGAATGTCGATTGAGACTTGAATTACATTCACCCGCATGGGCAATTATGACTCCATTAAGCGGAAAAACATATAAATATAATATTAATTCCATTAAATTATGGATCGATAAAGTTATTCCGTATACGAATGCATTAATTGCATTGAATTCAAGCATGAGGGTAAACCCGCAGGGGTGTGAATATCTGTTCAAGAAGACATTATTTAAATCATATATTCTGGCTTGTAATCAAACACAATTGATGGCAGATAATCCTTGGAGACAAGTCATACCCGATAAGATATTTATTATAATAGTCGATATGAAGACATATGATGGAGGATATAATTTTAATCCATTATATTTTCAACATGGAGATTTGAACCATTTCGGGGTTACAATTAATTCAGAAATGATTCTTAATATTGACTGTAAGTTTCCTACCCACGCGAGTAGGTTATATTACGCTACCTTGAAATATTGACTGTAAGTTTCCTACCCACGCGAGTAGGTTATATTACGCTACCTTGAAATATTGACTGTAAGTTTCCTACCCACGCGAGTAGGTTATATTACGCTACCTTGAAATATTGACTGTAAGTTTCCTACACATGCGAGTAGGTTATATTACGCTACCTTGAAATATTGACTGTAAGTTTCCTACCCACGCGAGTAGGTTATATTACGCTACCTTGAAATATTGACTGTAAGTTTCCTACCCACGCGAGTAGGTTATATTACGCTACCCTTTAAATATTGACTGTAAGTTCCCTACACACGCGAGTAGGTTATATTACGCTACCTTGAAATATTGACTGTAAGTTTCCTACCCACGCGAGTAGGTTATATTACGCTACCCTTGAAATATTGACTGTAAGTTTCCTACCCACGCGAGTAGGTTTTTATTACGCTACCTTGAAATATTGACTGTAAGTTCCCTACACACGCGAGTAGGTTATATTACGCTACCTTGAAATATTGACTGTAAGTTTCCTACCCACGCGAGTAGGTTATATTACGCTACCTTGAAATATTGACTGTAAGTTTCCTACCCACGCGAGTAGGTTATATTACGCTACCTTGAAATATTGACTGTAAGTTCCCTACCACACGCGAGTAGGTTATATACGCTACCTTGAAATATTGACTGTAAGTTCCCTACCCACGCGAGTAGGTTATATTACGCTACCTTGAAATATTGACTGTAAGTTTCCTACCCACGCGAGTAGGTTATATTACGCTACCTTGAAATATTGACTGTAAGTTCCCTACACACGCGAGTAGGTTATATTACGCTACCTTGAAATATTGACTGTAAGTTCCCTACCCACGCGAGTAGGTTATATTACGCTACCTTGAAATATTGACTGTAAGTTCCTACCCCGCGAGTAGGTTATATTACGCTACCTTGAAATATTGACTGTAAGTTTCCTACCCACGCGAGTAGGTTATATTACGCTACCTTGAAATATTGACTGTAAGTTCCCTACCCACGCGAGTAGGTTATATTACGCTACCTTGAAATAAATTGACTGTAAGTTCCCTACCCACGCGAGTAGGTTATATTACGCTACCTTGAAATATTGACTGTAAGTTCCCTACCCACGCGAGTAGGTTATATTACGCTACCTTGAAATCTCAGGTTTGGGGCTGTCATTCTATTACATACAAGAGTTTTCTCAAGGCAGAACTATTATTAGTGTTTACCTGAGAAGTGAACAGGTTAAGAATGCTATATCTGTCGAGAAGAATGGTAATTTGAGATAGATATTTACATTTGGTAAACCGAAAGATGAGAATGAATTTGTCCTGATGTTTGGTGAAACTAATGCGATTTTAATATAAATGAAAATAGAACAGTGATAGTGCATAAAGCGAGTATAGGATCATGAATTTGTGAAGAGATAAATATTGCCTTGAAACATCATACTGGAAGATATGCCTCCCTACTTTGGGAGTTTTGCCGCAAATTAAATATACATGAAGTTATTATGAGATAAAGTAGGGTAATTTTCCTCATTAATATATTGAAGGATCACAGAGACAATATGGCTCCATTGGATTACTATATATGTAACAAACCACAATATTATTTTTTAGATAGATTCGGGGTTGGATTTAAAACATTATCAAATATATATGAGAAAATTATATATAAGAGAAATTTCATGTACGGTATTAATCAGAGAATTCAACATGAAAATCATTGTTGTGCGTCTTATATGCTATTATTTTTTGTATAAGTAACAAATTATAGCGTCAAGAAAATTAAATACAATTGTTTGTTTAAAGATTTTGAAGAAATAAATAAAGAATGACCAATTATATGTAATAAGCATATGAGCATTTCAATAACCTCATGTAAGTGTATTTGCTTAAAATTCAACGTGGAATTATGAAAAATCTGTGTAAAATATTGGAATTATCGTACGTGGGTAAGGCTTTATGAGGCGGGGCAAAAGTTAGAGGCGGGGTCGAAAGGTTAGAGGCGGGGCGAAAGGTTAGAGGCGGGGCGAAAGGTTAGAGGCGGGGCGAAAGGTTAGAGGCGGGGCGAAAGGTTAGAGGCGGGGCGAAAGGTTAGAGGCGGGACGAAAGGTCATAACGCTGCTATAAATGCCCGTGCTGGGTCACTCTTTGCATCTACTGTCATTCAAGTTTGGGTCAAGGATGAATCCAATTCAGTACTCCGTTGGAGGTGTCTGCGAGGAGGAGAGAAGACTGCATCCCTGTGTATGTTGGAATAATCACTGCGGAAATGTAAGTGAATATGAAAAATCTTTATTTACACATAAATGATTTTAAATGTAATTATTAAACCAATAAAACTCTTTAATGCATTTAAGATAATGCCTTATTCTCCTTCAATCGAGAAATTTTTTTCTTTGCCAGATGCGAATTGCGATAAATACGTATGGAGCGAGATGGAAATTTTATGACAAATTCCCAACCTACTTTAGTAGGATGAGGATTCCCCATAAATTATCCCCCCAGCTTCCCCCATAAATTATCCACCAGCTTCCCCGGA